GGCGCTAAGGAGTACAGGAAAGTCATATACACATCAGCGCCATCTAGGCATGCTATACACTGGAAAGAACCTTTATAAATGAACCCCTGAGACATAAGTAGGGATGAGCTTAGGGTTCGAGTTCACAGTTTCTTAGACATGTCTGCCCATCGCCATAGCAGCCAACTACCAATAATGCATTTCCTGGCCTCAGAAAAGAAATTTGATGGATCACTGGACCATGGGCATTTCCAGGATTGTGAAAGACCTGGGACACTCCTGGGAACTGCAAGAATAAAGGTGATGGGGTTCACTTAGCATGCCATGCAAATGCTAGGTGTGGCTAGGAGGGGCAAACCAAAAATCTACCCTTGCAGTGGGGATACCCTCACATTGCAAGGGTTAAGTGCTCATTTATATCTAGGGGCTGGAGTAAAGCAGATTTACTCACCTGATCCCTGTTCCCCTGGAAGTCAGCACTCTCCTCTTCTGCTCTTCCTCTCCAACTAGTGGAATTTCCCTCAGTGTCCTCACGTCTAATGCAGGTCTATAAAACCTGCATTAGACGTATTGACATCAGCAGTCCTTTGATTACTAGATCAAAGAGGAGAAGAGGCTGCAGGGACCAGTCTAGAAGACCAGAGGGAGCTGGCAGGAGCAGGAATCAGGTAAATAAATCTGCTTTATTCCAGCCCCTAGCAAAAATGAGTATTTAAAAATTGTAGTGTGAGGGTAGTCCCATTGCAAGGGGAGGTTTTCTGTTTTCCCAGAGATGGGCTTTAAGGGGTGCATAGTTAAATAGAACGTGAGCCCACTCACTGTATACACAGCACACACAGCCGTGTCACAGTCCTTCTATTTACAAAAATGCTTTTATTACTATACTACAAGGGAGAGCCTCAAGAACACATATAAACCTCAACAAAATCTATTTTAAATTGTATGTCCAGCAAAAACCTTTTGTTGTTTTGGATAGAGTAGGGAAGGTTTAGAACCCCTTTCAAGTTTTTACCGCAATTTGGAAATGGGATTTCACCTCACTTTCTGTCCTCCTGATAGCATTTTACTTTTTACTGTGTTTGGTATAGTAGGAAAGGCTTGTGCCCCTGTTAGGTTTTTTATTTTTTTTGCTCTCCATGTCCCTGTTAAAGTTTTTACCTCACTTCTGCTGAAACCATTGTCAGCAGGACAGGAAGTGAGAATTAAAAAACCAACAGGAATTCTTATCATTCCTCACTCTATCCAAAACTAGAAGTTGTTGGCTTGCCACACACATATAAAACTGAAACATATGTGTTTCTGTACACAGAATATGGACAGATAACTAACACTTTGAGCCTACCTTTAAACACTTAATTTAAAAAGCCAGTGACTATTCCCACACACCTCTCCCACCACTTCTCATACTCTCCCCACCACCTCTGACACCACTGCACTCTAATTCCCTCCACACATCTTTAGAACCATTGCACACACCCTCTCCTCGCATACACCACTGCCATTTCTGCAAATTTCCTCTCCATGCATACACCTCTGCCACCACTGTATTCTAGGGATGCACCAATATCAATACTAGAATCGGTATCAGTGTCGATACCGTGTATTTGGGTGAATACCCGTACCTGCCCAAATGCTCCAATACCTTCCCGGATACCAGAACTTCCGGTCCGAGGAAGATTTCCTTTAACCGGCAGTGCCATAGGGGAATATGGAGCCCGGCTCCCTGATTGCCCGGCAAGCAAGCTCCATGTTGTTTAGCAGGCTCCATTGTGATTGGCCGGAAAACTGGCTTCCCATCCAATCAGCATCGAGCCGGCCTCCTGACAAATCAGGAAGTCGGGTGGCAAGTAATGACTCCCCTTCCGGCTTCCTGATCAGCAGGGAACTGGCTTCCCAGCCAATCAGCATGGAGCTGGCTTCCTGGGCAAGCAGGAAGCCGGGCTGTATGTAATTACACCGCCACACAACACCCACCTTCCTGATAGCCCAGGAAGCCGGCTCAATGCCAGCAGAAGCACCGGTATACGGTAACAGCAAGTACCAAAAGCAAATATCAGTACTCGATACTGAAAAAACGGTATTGGTGCATCTATACTATATTCCCCTCTTCTGCATTCACTTCTGCCATCACTGCACACCTCCTTCATGCATACAACACTGCACACCATCCCGCCTGCATTCACCTTTGCCACCACTCCACCCCCTCCCTGCACACACCTCTCAAACCACTGCACACCTTTATCCCACATTCACCTCTGCCACCACTTCACCCCATTCCCTGCACACGCCTCCACCACCACTACACCTCCCTCCCAGTACACTCCTCTGCCCCCAATGCATCCTCTTCCCTACAAACATCTCCACCCCTTCATGCACACTCTGCCACCACTGCAAACCACCTTGCTGCAGACACAACTGCACGTTTCTCCTGCATTCACCTTAGGTACCACTGCAACCCCCTTTCCTGCACCCACCCCTGACACCACTACACCCCCCTCCCTACACACTCCTCTGCCACCACTACACCATATTCCTTACACACACCTCCACCACTATTACACCCCCTTCCCTGCACACACTTCTGCCACTACTATACCCCCTTCCCTGCCCACACCTCCACCACCACTACACCCCCTTCCTTGAACACACCTCTGCTGCCACTACACCCTCTTCCTTGCACACACCTTGACACCACTATAACCCTTCCCTACACACACCTCTGCTACCACCTGTTTACCTCTGGGCTGACACTCTTCAGTATTTACTGTGTAGGTACATCTTCAGGAAGTCATGTGAGTCATCTATATTTCTATGTAATAATACCACTGATGATGGTAATACTATTAATAATATTAATACATAACAATTATACAGTAAATACGAGAAAGAAAAATCCTGAAAATGATTTGTTTGCATTTTGCTGTAAAGCTTTACTTATGTATCCTGTGCCTTAAATAAAATAAAAAAAAGCCAACAGACAAAAAACAACAACACTCTAGTGAATTGGAAAATAGAAATAGGAAGACTGAATGCAGGTAGAACTGTGACCTGATTCAGTGTTTACAGTGGAAGGATTTTCAGCCTCCTCTCCTGGCCTATAAGCCTCTGTTGTTGTTTTTTTTTCTCTTTTTCTTTTTTTTCTGTTCTCTGTGGTCTGTGAAATCATACAACTTGAGATTCAGAAACGCTTTGAAATCCCTATTTAGGGAAGATGTCTTCTGACTTATTGTATTCATAGGCAGAGAGAATCCCCTTCCAGCACCTCCCATCTCCCTCCTCCTGATTATCTCCCAGCCAGAGCTCCAGATTCATAAGAGTTCAATCGCGAAAGC